CGCCACCGTCCCCGCCGGCCTGGGAACCGGCCGCCGACGCGCCGTGGTGCCCCTACAAGGTGCTGCCCGAGAACCCCGAGGCGGGCGGCGGCCACCTGTGTTTTCGCAGCCCCGCGCGGGGCTTCCGCTGCCAGGCACCTGGCTGCGCGGTGCACAGCTCGGCCGGCCACTCGCTGCGCGCCAGCGTCCTGCGCAACCGTAGCGTTCTGCTGCAGTGGCATTTGGCGCCGACCGAGGCGCGCCACTTGCGTGGATTCGCGCTCAACTGCTCGTGGCGCGGCGCCTACACACGCTTCCCGTGCGAGCGCGTGCTGCTTGGTGCCTCGTGCCGCGACTATCTGCTGCCCGATGTACACGACGGCGTGCGCTACCGCCTGTGCCTGCAGCCGCTACCGCTGCGCACCGCTCCCGGGGCGTCCCCTGCACCCACCACGCCGCCGTTCACACCGGCCGAGTGTGTGGAGTTCGCCGCTGAACCGGCTGGCATGCGGGAAATTGTAGTGGCTATGACAGCGGTGGGCGGCTCCATCTGCGTCATGCTGGTGGTCATCTGCCTGCTGGTGGCCTACATCACTGAGAACCTCATGCACCCGGCCTTTGGGCGCCCCGGGCCACGCCGCCAGCCCTGAGTCACGACTTCAGCCCTCAAAGGAGTGCATCTGTGCCCCAGGCCCGTATGCCTGCCCACCCTGCCCTCCTTGTACCTGCGACCACCTTAGGATTCCATTCAGCGCCTGCTGGACTTGGATGGACTTGGACGGGGTTTGGCTGACCCACGACGCCAGAGCCTTATCATCGCAGGACCTTCCCAGCCAGGCGTCTGTGTCCCAGAGCCCAGCTCAGGACTGACCCTTGGACCCTGGCTAAGATGCCAGCCACATCCAGGGCTCTACCCACTCTCCAGAGGCCTTTATTAGAGCGGCCAGAACACGTGGCCCCTTCCAGCAAGAGCCATTGTCACCCTGGGTTGTCATCCCACACTTGCAGCCTGTGCCAAATTGGTAGAGCTGGCCATCATCAATCACTGCTTGGTCACTGTGTGCTTTGCAAGCCCAGGAGCCCCTTGGAGCCTGTTCTCCCCCCCACCCTACCCCAATGGGCTTGGGTTTGCTTTGTGCCTTAGTACTCGGGCCACCCACCCATCCCCCAGGCCAGAGCCCAGCACCCTGTTGTCCAAGGGGGTGCGGTTTGTGGCCCTGAGACTGGCCCCTGTGTGTGCTGTGGCCAGAGTTCCTTGGGACTCCCTTTCCAAGGTTTGCAGGAGCGCCCCATTGCCCTTAAATAGAGATGGGTAGAGCAGTGTCCTGGGTGTTGCCGACCCAGGCATCTGAGGAGCCAGCAGCTGTGATGTAGCCCAGGAAGCCCAGGTCCAGCTACAGCATACAGGGTGAGTGTCCCTGACCTTGGGGAAGCTAACTGCTCTCAGGGGCTGGTTCCCTGTTTCCTTTTATGTGAGTCACCTTTGAGTAGGACTTCCCACTGCAGGGTGGGCTGGGCCGGTCACTGGGCAGAGGAATCCTGGATTGGAGCGGGGACAGCAGAGGAGTTGATGACAGCTGAGCCCATGTGGCCCTTTCACTGTGGTCTGGACCCTCAGCCTCCACCTACCAGGAAACCTTGGTGACCACAGGGTAACCCACAGCACCACCCACCTTTCCTTCGGGGCTCAGGGTCAGGCGGCCAGGATCCAGGCCCAGTGAGGCTGCCTGCCCACACCATTGACAGAAGACCAGCGTTGACTCCCCCAGGCAGACCTCAGCACCCTGGCCACTTGGCAGCATGACATTGCTGCCAAGCTCCCTGTGAGTCCCACACGAATCACCTGAACTTGACCTTGGCACTTTCTGGAGTCACTGTGGCTAACCCCATCCTCTGCCCTAGCGACCACCAGCCCTGGTAGGTATCCATAGAGCCCACTCCCCACCTCCTGTGTCTCTTCTCTGCCCGCCCTGCTCACGGCGCTGGCCAAGTGTGAGCCTGGTGTCCATGTCTAAAGTCTCATCATTCTCTCAGACCAAAAGCACTGTTGTGTGTATTTATTTGGGAGACAGAAGGAAAGGGTGTAGGAGTGAAAGAAGGCAACAGTGGTCCTTTTTTTTCCACAAAGGCATCTCTAACATCAGCAAAGTGGCTGGGCCTGACCCTTTTAATTGCATTGGGGTCTGCCCCAGGTAGGGGTACACAGGCACCTGGTCCTTGCAGCTTCTGGCAGGAGGACACCAGTGACCCGCTGCCCGTCTGTCCACCTCTGACCTTGGGAAAGACACCAACAGCCTCTCCTCTGCATGCTGTCAAGCGGGGGTGGGGGCGCGGCACCTGCTGCAGTTAGAAATAGCCCAGGCTCACGGTGACCCACTTGAGCTGCGACAGGCAGCAATTAAGCGACTCCGGGAGGGGGGGCCTCCTCCCCAGCCCGGGCACCCCCTCACACAGCTGACAGGGAGGGTGTTGAAGTCACAGTTTGTCGGGGGATAAGGTGATGAGCCTGGGCCCTGAGTGTGGCAAGGGTGGGGGGCTACCACCCTTGCCCCAAATTGGCCACTCCCCACCCCCTGCTGTCCTTGAGCCATGGTGACCCTGAGCAAGCAGAGGCAGCTGGTGATGGCCAAGCTCTGAGAAATGACTCATTCCCCCAGGGGAGGGAGGTTGGGGTGTGGAGACATGTCTAGACAGCCAGGGGTAGCAGTGGGAGGGCTTAAGTAGTGCCAATCCTGGTGCCTGCAGCCCTGTGCCTTGTTGGACTCCTGCCCACCTGTCAAGGCATAGATAGATGTCTTCTTCCAGTAGGAGCCAGGCAGTGGTGGTACCCAGGATCTGGGGGCCTCTGAGGCCTCACCCATCTGCCCTCCTCCTGATGGGGCATAGGCAGACTCCAGGACTGAGCTGTGAAGTTATGGGAGAGCTCCCATCTGCCCACTCCAGCCTTCCACCAGTATGTCCCCCACTGTGGGCATGAGCTCCCTCCTGGGACTGTCAGGTGAGCACTCAGAGTGGGCTCAGCTCTGACCTGTTGTCTTGGCCTCCTGCACATGACAGGTGTACAGATACTCTCTCTTAGACAAGCCTGTCCCAGGGCTTCATGCAGGTCGGCAATCCAACTTTGGTTGCAGGGACTGAGTCTGAGAACCCCTGCCCGCAGGGTCTGGATTGAGATTTGGCCCGGGATAGCTGAAACTGGACAGGAGTCCAGGCATAGTCACCTCCACTAAGCTCTTCAAGGACAGCCCTACCCACCTCCCTGGGCCACAGGAGCACCCTGGCTCCTCCCCACCACCCCTGTGCTGTGACCCTTCAGGTTGACTTTGTACCTCCAGCCTCATCCAGACATTTCCTTTTCCCTATCTGCCACCTTCCTGCTCCCAGCCTCTGAGGCTCCGGCCTCACATCTTGGGTTACCTACCTTGGGAGCCCCACCCTACACTGGTAGTGGAGCCCAGCTCCTCTGAATAACCCTGGAGACTTGGCCTCTCTCCCTGGTGCTGCAGGATAGGCTGGGTGGCCCCCTGCTCCACCCTTGAGAAGCCCTGAGCTTTTCCATGCTCCAGTTCTCATCATTTACACATGGAGACCAGAACCATCTTGTTGCAGGAGGGCTTCAGTGAGGTAACTCAGGTGGAGGGCACTACATCCAACCATGTCACCTTCTGTGCAGAGCCTCCTCTTGACATGACCACCGAGGTAGCTCAGGAGCTTCGTACACTGCTTTGTGTCCAAGACAGAACTTTGGATGCCCCCTTCTCACCCCCAAGCCCTGACTCATAACACATGTTCTCTGTCTTCCCACCACGGACGATCTTCATTCTACCAACATTTTCTGAATGCTTCTACAGGCCTGGCTGGCTAGTTGGTCAAGCCAGAAGCCAGATACTAAGATGTAGGTACAGGTGACAGGATGCTGGCATGCTGGGTACAGGGATGAAGGAATGCAGGATTGAGGGCATCCAGCCGTCTGCCCACCCAAACTAGGCTCCTCCCCAGAGTCCCCGACAGGTAGCTGCTCATTCTGCTTGGTTCACCGGCTGAAAGTCCATGGGCTGTCATTCAGGCCTCAGGTTCCCCTGGTGGAGTTAGGACTTGGTCAGCATTGGTGGTGGAAAGACATCACGCTTCCTGGAATTGCTGAGCTGGGGGACATGACGATGGGGACAGGCAGAATCAAAACAGCTGCCTTTTCTTTCTTCTTTTTCACTTTTATCTGGACCTTCTCTTTCTCTGCTCGATTTAGTCAAGTCCAATAGATCCTTCTCATTGTGGGAGCTTCAATTACTTATTGCTGAGGATTTATAAGGCCCAGATTGACCCATATCATTTACTTTTTTCAACTTCTTGAATAAAACAAAAACCAAGCCTACTGCCATTGAGTTGATTCAAACTCATGGTGACTCAGTAGGACAGATCAGACATGTCCATGGGGTTTCTTTATAGTAGTAGACAGCCTCATCTTTCTCCTACAGAGCGGCTGGTGGATTTGAACCACAGACTTTGTGGTCAGTAGCCCAATACTTATACCACTAGACCCCTTGCATAGGCGTATGCAGATTGGAACCTGGGAGTCCGTCTCTACTTTTCTTGTCGATCTCTGCTGGGCCTTGTGAGTTTTCCACTCCAAGTGTCCCCAACTGGGCTTGGAGGTGGGTTTTTTGGCAGTGACACAATGTGTCAGTTTTCTGGGTTTCACTCTGCCTTCCACCCAATTCTTCCCTATACCACAAGGTGGTGTTTCTGTCAGAAGTTGCATCTCACTATTACATGGGAGGAGTTTATGGGAACCACTTGTGACTTTTTTGTTGTAGATCTCAGATAAAGATTTTTTTATTATCCTGGTTGCTTTGTGTGTTTTTGTGGAAGTGCTTTATCTGCCTCTGCCACCATCTGTGTAGAGCTTCTTCGTCGCTCTGATCTCAACCTCGCCGTTTCGCCATGTTCAAATTACCTTATGGAAACAGCATGTAACTATCATCATATTTGCTCTACTTTAGTTTTCATAATTATTTTGTTCAGATACCAGTCTGACCACACATGGTCCAAGAACACTTAAACACTAAACCAAATATAAAGATTGATTCGTCTTCAAATGTCATAACCAGTGATACCATGCTTGCCTATGATCTTGCCAATCTAAAACCATATCCACGCCTCAGTGACCACCAAACCATTCAGCAGAGCTTCCTTAACCAACCAGTTTTTTTTTGTTTTTTTTTCCAACCAGTTTTTAATACTACTGACTCCGTGGCATAGTGGTAAAATGTGGCCAAGTGAGGCTTTGAGTAAGTCACAGCAGCATTTACCATTGCCAAAGCCTTCTCCATTGGGCTACAGATAAACCGGGCCATAGTTCTAGGATAGAGAGCCCATTGCCCCTACCAGCCAGCTGAATGTCCACTGTTAATATATTTGTTATAATTGTCAGTGATAATTTATTGGTAGTAGTATTTTGGGCATGTATCTACCATCTGATTTGGGGATTTGTAATGAGTAGGATTTGTCTTTGTTTCTTTTTTTCTCCTATGGAATGAATTGCTCATTTTTATCTCCCCTTTCCTATTGGTGCTTAAAGAAACATGAAATTAACAAACGTGGCCATGTAATGAACATTCTCCATTTCTTCCTAAATCAGGGGGGGGGGGAA